ATAATTCCACTGTCACCATCTTTGTTTCACTGAAACACTTAACCATTAAGCTGCCATCTTAACTATTACACACATATCGCTATTCGTCAGTGTCATGTGAATGTATTTTCTCTAATATTTTGTACCTATTACATTGTGCTGATTGTTCACATGTTATCTATTCATATTGGAAATAAAATAAATATTGAATACTTGACTTTGTTATGATTGATACACATGAGAAGAAATGGGTTGTGTAGTTTACAGATGACCAGTTGTTTTCATCATCACGTATATCCGATCTGTCCATAGTCAATCTGCATGCTAATTTACGTCGAATGTGTAATCCAACTAGTGTTTAATTTGCATAGAACGTGATAACAAAGAGGACAGCTGATGGTATTTTGCGTGTTCATTTATCCATCTCACAACACAACACACATCAGTCGCGATTTGTTGTCGAATCCTAATTTACCTGTAACACAATTCATAGTTAGGAATATAGGTTTTGAAGTTGAAATGCAAAGCATTTTGGTATGAGTTTTGAGTAGACAGCTGATAGCAATATTAGCGGACGAAAACACCTCCACGAACACTCATAAACACACAAACACTGGTATCATTAAGTGTAAGTGATGGACTGCAGGTTTTACACGTCTAGTCTAATTTCACTGTAAATAAGTTATATCTCGGACGTTTATTTTTGCACTTTCATTTGAGTGTCAAGCATTGGAATTTATTCAGATTTCCAACCTCTGTATCATATGTCATTTGGTAGTGTAGTTATATCTTGTATTCTTCTTAGATCATCTTGTAACTAGCTTTCAATTGATACCCCTTTATTAATCATTTTGACTTCTGTTCAACTATGAAATGTTGTGTCAAATAAATAACAAAATATAAATATTCACTTACATCAATATAAAACAACAGTAAGTCAAGATGAAGTTTGTAAGCTTGTTTGATTTATTACTCCGTGCATTTTGAAGAACCTTTTCGTACTTAGAATCTCGTATTAGGATATCTAAGTAGAATAGAACAGGTCCGTGACTCTCGTGATGACATACATCAATCGCTGCTTGAATTTACTCCTAGTTGTCTAACCGTTAGCTGATTTTATGTATCTGTACGATACTACTAGGTATTAGTAAGTAGCGTGAATGAATGCATGTATATAATTCTACAACGCACACATTTTGGTGGTATAAAGTGGTTGGTTGCACTGATCGTCTTATCTTACACGTTTATGCTTTGGTTTCGATGAATCGATTCAATTTTTTATCACAATCGTCATTATTACCTATCGCGCCTAATAATTCACACTTAGGATACCATTCACTGGAGCGTTGGTAATGTCGACTGAGTGGTGTATTGTGAGAAACTGTCATCGCAATGACTTCATCTGATTGTGTTTTGGATGGTTGAATTAACATCTGGACACATTATGAATCGATATTTATGAATGTTTTATATTCATCTGAGTTTGTATGTTAGGACCACGTCTCTTAATTCAGGTATACAGCAAATATTTGATCAGACTAAAATGATTGCTCCTATTATTATTTTTGTTGTTTGAGGAACGTTAGAATTCTGGATTTTGGTCAGAGAAAGAGTACTGTCGAAGGATATAGTGCATAGACTAGGTGTTTCTCCCTCATTTGAGACCCGCCGACAAAGTGAAATTGTGGTGTCACATGTATTTGTAAGTAGACTATTAGACTTAGTGGTTAACAATATGTTCGATTGGTGGAATGAACGTCAACTCTGAGGTGTAATTACTGCTACCTGATGAATTTCAAATCTGACTGAATGTAGATCGTTTATTCTACAGGTCATCGCATTCCGCCTACTCTATAAAGCTGAAATTTCTTTGGTATTTTTGTTTATTCTCTATTTTCGTCTTTGTAATAAGAGTGATTTCATAATTTTTTATTTTTCTCCCTATTCTTGAATTTCTAAATATTTCTTATTTTCTATGTATTTTCTATGATATAACTTTGACAGCTTTAAATTTAACTGTTCGTCTTGTTCGAGTTCTGAGGCTGTATACCTTGTTCAATTTAATCACCTAGTAGAGATTATACTCGCTTCCTATTGCTATAAATTCTGTAAGTCT